TAACTTCTAAACTGAAATAGATGTATTCAGTCGGGTTTTTTCACTGGTCAGAGAAATATGATATAATTTTGAAGTAAAAAAAATTTTTTTTTTTTTTTTTAAATATATTTTTAAAATATAAAATATTCTTTTACTTTTATTTTTTTTAACTTTAATTAACATATTTCACAAATAAACTTTATCTAAAAAAGGCTAGAATGTTATTCGGAATCATCGGAATCAGAGAGAGGCATATCAAAAAATACTAAAATATACCAAACAAGAAAGAAAGCCGAAGCTTATATACCCTTGCAGTCATTAAAAATGTCAAACAAAATACATAAGGGCCAAACAACGTCGAAGCTATGAAGATTTTTCTGTTAATTTTCCATATTTTCGACTATTGTTCATATGACAGCTATACGATTTAGTAGTCCGATTTTGATGATATTTAATTTGAAATTCAATAGTAGTTAGAAAACGCCATCTGGAAGAAATCAGGTCGACCTGATCAAAAACAACGTTTTTTTTATACCATTCCTCCGTATTGCAGCTATCCAATATAGTCGGCCGATCCGGCCCGTTCCGACTTATATACTGCGTGCAATAACTACACAACTTTTGGGAAAGTTTTAGCAAGATAGCTTTAAAACTGAGAGACTAGTTTGAAAAGAAACGGACAGACGGACAGACGAATAGACGAACAGACAAACAGTCGGACAGACAAACAGACGGACAGACAGACGGACGTACAGATGTTTTTCGATTCGGATCGTTATGCTGATCAAGAATATATATACTTTATGGGGTCTGAGGTGTCTCCTTCACTGCGTTTCAATTTACTATTGAATTTTGGATTAAATTTGATCAAAATCGGATAACTCTATCATATAGCTGCCATAGGAAAGATCAAAAAATATATATAGAAATAATGGCAAAATAATCATAACGTTGTTGTTTTTTATTCCACGAGCATGATTTTTACAACATCGACTTTATGAACTACCCTTGAACCGAGAAAATTTCATAAAAATCGGACAACTATATCATATAGCTGCCATATGAACAATAGTCGAAAATATGGAAAGCTTCGATGTTGTTAGCCTTTATGTATTTTGTTCGACATGTTTGATGACTGCAAGGGTATATAAGCTTCGGCTTGCCGAAGCTAGCTTCCTTTCTTGTTTTTTTTTACAATTCGATAATAGATACTTTGATTAGATTTATCCAAGCATTTTAAAAGCTCTACGATGAGCTGATCATCAGCTGTGAACGGACAAACACAGAAAATGATTTTGCAAAGAACTTTACAAAATTTTACCTGTTTGCGCGCATCGAATTCAAGTTCCACGGAAATTTACAATTTTTAGTGAATTTATTAAAAGTTTGGTTTTTTATTATTTTCAAGGTATGCATTACAAAAAAAATTAATGCTTGTGACCGGTCTATAAATGTGTAGCTCATAAAACGTAGTGGCAATTCAGTGTATTGCCAACGAGCCCGGATTAGCGTACGCCTGTCTTTCGTGGAGAAGAACTTACCTGATTCAAGTGGATTCAGTCTAACTCTTTTATTAGCCGAAAGTGTGAATCAGTGGCGTTCAATGTGTGTAATATGAACTGCTAGTACCTGCTAGCCTTCAAACTATGGTACTTTTAAGGCACAATGTCAGTAGCAAAAAGGGATCTTTATACCCTTGCAGAGCAAAAGGGTACTATAATTTCAGTCAGAAGTTTGCAACGCAGTGAAGGAGACACCTCAGACCCCATAAAGTATATATATTCTTGATCAGCATCACGAGCAGAATCGGAATTTGTATGTACGTCTGTCCGTCTGTCCATCTGTCCGTCTGTCCGTTTCTGCCCAAACTAGTCTCTCAGTTTTAAAGCTATCTTGCTGAAACTTTCCCAAAAGGTGTGTAGTTATTGCACGCAGTATATAAGTCGGAACGGGCCGGATCGGCCGACTATATCGGATAGCTCCCATACGAAAGAATGAAATAAAAAATTCTCACGCCGTTGTTTTTGATCAGATCGACTTGAATTCTTCAAGATGGCGTTTTCCAACAGTTATTGAATTTCGGATTAAATTTGATCAAAATCGGATAACTCTATCATATAGCTGCCATGGGAGAGTTTGAAAAATATATATAGAATTCATGGAAATAAATTTATAACATCGTAGTTTTTTATCCCACGAGCATGATTTTTTGAATATCAAGTTTTTTAACCACTCTTATACTGAGAAAAAAGTTTCATAAAAATCGGACAACTATATCTTATAGCTGCCATAGAAAAGATCGAAAAATCTATTTAGAAATAACGGAAATAAAATTATAACATCGTTGTTTTTCATCAGACAAGTATGAAAGCTCCCTTATGATCTATAGTCGAAAATATGCAAAATGAATAGAAAAATCGTCTTAGCTTCGATTTTATTTAACCTTTATGCATTTGGTTCGACATATTTGATGACTGCAAGGGTATATAAGCTTCGGCTTGCCGAAGCTAGCTTCCTTTCTTGTTTTTCCGATGATTCTGAATATAATTCTATCCATCTTTAAATTATGTTTGTTTATGGAATATATTAATTGAAGTTTGAAAAACATAAAAATAAATCAACATTTAAAATTAAAAAATATTTTTTTTGAATTAAAAAAAAAAAAAAAAAGTATAAAAAAAAACTTTTTTTAACTTAAAAAATTGTATGATTTTTCTTTGATCGGTGAAAAAAAACCGACTGAAGATATCTATTTTAGTTTAGAAGTTATTAATTAAATGCCGCTAGCGAGACCAAATCGCCCACTGTGCGACAGCGGCGTATACGCCTTATATGTATGTCTAGATCGACTTATAAGGTGATGCTTTTCAAAAATAATAATTATAATATACTTTTGCGTATCCGACGTTTTTGTTCAAGCAAAGGTTGAAATAAAATTTTTATAATTTAAAGTTAAGCAAATTATATTTGTATACTAAATAATAATAAAAAATAAAATATCTTTTGTTTGGTTTTTATTTTTCGTTAATTATATTAAAAAAATTAAGGCATCCTTAAATGTTTAAAATAAATAATATTAACGTAACTCGATAAAGACAACGGATAAAATTTAACAGTGCATTATCTGGTTGAGGTTCCTGCAGTAAATCACATATGTACATTAATTTTATGCATTTTAAATTTGAAAATTCATTTTGCCACTGCTTGCTTAATTTTATTAATACAAGTTTTTTATTCCACTTTTTTCTACGGAGTTTCACTTTCAATTGAACTTTCTGTTAGGGTTTCTTTTGGGTCTCTGCTTTTTCCAGGTCAGTTCCACGAAGACACTCCGTGTAAGCTTTGTTTGGTTTTTCATGTAGACCTGTTTTCTAAACGTAACGAAAATTACCTACTTATGTATTTAATTTGCACTAGGTTATACACATCACTTAAAACGTAAAGATTGCTTATGTTATCTCTACATAAAAAATAATAAGAAAAAGTCATTAGGGCAACAAAAAACAAGTAGCATAGAATATAGGCTTTGTTGAAGAATATTATAAAGAGAAAGCGCAACAATTAAAGATATTACGGCCAATAAACGGTTCACCATCCGCCCCGACCCCGCGGTCATGCAAGAAAACATCAAACAAGTTGCATCAAACATGTCGAACTTAAACTCTATACACAAGATATCTTCTTTTAACATTTCTGTAAAGCGAAAAAATATCAGCCTGTTATTGACTAGCTACACGGAAGAAAAAGCATGTCAACAAATTCTCAAAACTTTGACCCCTTTTGATGCCCTTGACAAGAGGGTTTTTATTTTATCTAACGTTTGTAACGAAGGTATTGACACACCTATAGTGCTTATAGTCCGTCCTTCTGGCTGCCCATCAATTTAACTAACTTTTGCTACATTTTTTTTTATTTAATACATATTCGTAACAAATTATAAATCATATACTGCGATTTGTAATGAAAACAAAATCTTTCTTAAGGGGCACAACTAGTGTGACATTTCAAAAAAATCTTTTTTTTTTCTTTCATATTTCAGTAGATTACACCTTTAAAAATAACATATTAAAATTTCAAATCGTTATCTTAAATAGTTTTTGAGTTATAGCAACTTTAAGAGCAGCCGCTCGTATAGCAGTGTATACGATCATTTTATCTTTAAACGAGTTTTTCTCGAAACAGCATTTTCCGAATTTGCTGCAGTGATAACTTAAAAACTAATGATCCGATCACTATCAAATTTTTTTTAGATGTTCTATATATAGTCCTCCCTACAATGACCTATCGGTTTTTTGATCCGATCAAAAATCGAATTTTGGCAGGCCAAAAACGACCAAAATTTTGGGTAAAATTCGATTTTTATTTTTTTAAACGCCGCCATTTTGTCAATTTTTGATATTTTTTATTTATCGTAGGTCATTGTATGGACAATATCATCTAGTTTAACGAGAATTTTTCATTTTTTGATTTCATCCACGGAGAAGGCCGGAATCACTGCAGCAGTTGGGGCACTTTTTTTTTTAGCGCCGTTGGAGATCGGCTCTAGCTTAAAAAATATTTAATTTTTTTCTTTAAAAATTTTACTGTATATTCTTCAAACATGTATAAATATATTCTGAAAATTTGAAAAGAATTGATCAAGTAGTTTTTTTTATAAAAATTCCCAAAAATCACCATTTTTTTAGGCCGTCACACTAGTTGTGCCCCTTAATTACTCTTTAAATCTTTATTTAATTGCAATACAATTTATTTATTTTTCGATTTACACACAAAGTCTCTGACGTAAACGAATTAAAAAATATACGGTTTCAAACAGTTTTGTTTACCAACCATTCTTAAAATTGTCAAAAATTAAGGAATGTATTGGTTGTTATTTTTAATAATGTACATAATTTATTTGTTATTATAATGTTTACCTAGGTACATTTTTCTAATAATAGTGTTTAAGTGTATCCAACTTTTAACACACGAAAAACTTGTTTCAACCGCAACCGCTGCTTCTTTGTTGGCTTTCCAACAACAGTGTAATCTGAGCTTCTGAAGAAGTAGCTACAAAACCTTGCAGTCGGAATCAAGTGCCGGGTGTGGCAACGGTTGACGGATAAAAACCGGCTTTTAGTTGTTAATGTGTGCGGGGTGAAAATGTTAAAAATAATGATGTTTTAGATTAACCGTTATCAACCGCCGGAAAACCAATTTTAAAAAAGTAGAACATAGGCTTTCGAGTTGTTAAACGTTAGAGAACAAAATAAAATTGTTGTAATATTTTTGATGAGCTTTTTATCATCGAGCTATTCATTTTTAAGAAAAAATGTCTAGCACTCAATCGCAAATGAAACCTTTTGGCGATGTGGTTGACAGAGAAAACAATATTGATTCGCCAAATAGTACCAGTGTACCCAAAATGGACTTGCTAAAGGTTAATTATGTGCACCAGTGCAAGAATGCTATTATTCACAAGTCAAACGATTCACCTTTGACTGCGCAACGATACAATCCGAATCCATTTGGTGGATACCGCCGTCAGTTGAAAAATATACCGATAATCGAGGATAGGCATCGAAACGGTCAAAATCGATCGTCAAACAGCTCACGGATTTTGCTGGAAAATCTTAAAATGCCAAAAGCTGATTCTTGGCAAGAGCTGACGCCTCAGGACTCAAAATTTAAAACTTATACTAATGATACAAACTACGTTTCAACACAATGCGCCGTAAGTTCCGCAAGTAATTTGGACAATTTAGAGACTGTCATAATAGAGAGTAATGTTGATGATATATGTGACTGTAAAATATCGCGCAACTGGAAATCCCATAATGATTGTATTGGTTTTCCAAATGCAGTCGTCGGTGTTATTTCCCGGAAAGACCGCATTGCCCGCATTGAGAACAAAAGGAGCAGCTCTCACCGAAAATCAGCGACTCGAATACCGAAGCCAAACGATGCGCGCGATAATCATTCTATACCGGAGTGGATGTTTAAAAACCCAGGAACTGGGGAAAGAAATGGCAGCAACAAGTGCAGCAGCATTGTTTCTATTACGCAACCAAAGCCATCCTCCCGCCTTCAACAAATAATTATGTTTGGCCGTGTACATATGAATGATCAGCCGTTGAAGAGAAAAACTAAACTTCCTGAAGCTTCCAGCAACGAAAGCTACGAATGCAGTATGTTTTCAAAGCTCCTATCTAAAGAAGATCGCAATAAAGAAAGTTTTAAAGATAACCTTTCTATTAACAGCATCTCTGATCCCGGCTTTTCTGCCAATAAAAAAAAACGCAGTCAGCAACGATTTCAAACAATTAAGGATGGAGACTCGGTGAACGATGATTACAATGAAAAGCAACTGCTCAAAGAACGCGATGAAATTGATGGCTTACTTCAAATAAAGGGTTTTTTGGACCATAACGATTTGCAGAACTTTTCGAATAAAAATTTGACCAAAATGACAACTAATGAACTGCTAAGTGCTGCCACAGCAAATAACAAAAAGTGTAACATTGATCTAGAGCGCAGATTAAATAATTTTCAAATCAAGGGAGAAGAACAACAGTTTGATGATATTTGGAACAATGAAATTTGTCATCCCCATGAGAAATATTTTAAAACCGACTCTCATCCACCGTCCATCGCCAAAAACAGTCCTGCCTCAATTATCTTTATGAACGGGAAGTACAATGACTCGAGTAAATTTCCACAATCAACGAGGTCTTATTCTGTTGAGTTATTGTCAAGTGATTCAGTTTCACTATCAGGTTGCAGTGGATCTTGCTTGGAAAACAGTTCTCAGTGCGATTCAGATGAAGATTGCTTCGAATGTAATCATAATCAAAATGTCTCTAAGCTTATTAACGACCTTCCCAAGGATTTCTACAATACCGACGAAGGCATTTTCTGGAACAACGCTTATGACGACATTCCAATGGAAACCTGCAGCCTTTCATGCACCGACAAGAATGATTGTTTACACTTGGATGAAAATTTAAGCGAAAACATAAAACCCATATCGGTACAAGAAATTAAAGCCAGTGGTTTAGTTGCGAATTTTACACGAAGCCAAATGTTCCTGCTAAAGGTATGTTGACCACCTTTAAAATCTAAACATAATAAATATAATTGCCTTTTTAAAAAATATAGCTATAATATATAGATAAGAATATTGATAAAGATTCTTACATTTAGCAAAAGCACTGAGTTTTTAGTGAAGGTGATGTAATTGTATAAAAGAAAAAATAATTAAATGCTCTTCTTATGACTTGAAAATTTAGCTATGAATACTACTGCAGAACCACGCAATTTTGAAAAAAAAATATTGCAGGAAGTGATGAAGGGCATAGGAGTGTGGCATTCGGCTTCCGCTTGGAAAAACTAATTTGGGATTTTCTCCGCTCCATTGAATTCCTGCATTTCTTCAAAGTTTAGTTTAACGGTGCAAAGTTATTTCGTTTTCTTTTCCGTTTTTTAACATGCATTATTTCGTATTACAGAAAGACAGGCAGACGGCTAGACAGACAGAACTGCAGACGTATTTCGATTCAGATCGTTTTTTACTTTATGGGGTCTGAGGTGTCTCCTTCACAGCATTGCAAACTACTGACTGATTTGATAATACCCTCTGCAAAGGTATTAAATCACAGGAAAAAATTATAACGCCTTACTTTTTGATCATATTGCCTTAATTTCTTCCAGATGGTGTTTTTTAACTACTATTGAATACATACATAATATAGCTTTCATATAAACAATTGTCAAAAAAATAGAAAATTTATAAAAAAAAAAGTGTCATAGCTTCGATGTTGTTTAACCTTTATGTATTTTGTTCGACATTTTAGATGACTGCAAGGGTATCTTTCTTGTTATATCCTTGCAGAGCAAAGGGTATTATAATTTTGGTCAGAAGTTTGCAACGCAGTGAAGGAGACACCTCAGACTCCATAAAGTACTATATGTATATTCTTGATCAGCATCACGATCTGAATAGAAATACGTCTGTACATTTGTTCGTCTGTCCGCCTGCCCGTTTCTACGCAAACTAGTCTCTCAGTTTTAAGTGTGTAGTTATTGCACGAAGTTGCGGTAAATATCTATTCTCAAATTGGGCATATACCTATATATATATATGTTGCATAAAGTCCTATTCAGGCATATACATATTTATATATAAAACACCGCCTGAATCGATGTTAATGTGAACATTTGCCGGTCTGTTTGTTTCTATGAACCATAAACTAGCATACTCTAAGCCAGTGGTTCCCAAACTTATTTTGTCTACTGCCCACTTTGAAAATAAATATTTTTTTCCCATTTTTTTCACCTATTTAAAAACCACAATAACTTCAAATTAAATTAATTAATTATTAAGACCTGTATATGTATGTATATTAACGAAGAATTCTAAAAGAAACTTACTATAACCCGCAACTTGAAACCTGAGCGCAGTAGGTAACATACAATGGCGCTTAGGTCTCAACTTAACTCTTACGGGCTCCACCTGCCAATAAGAATGATTATTGAAATGCAACTTTATAGTATCCCTCTCTCTTACCGCCCCCCTTGAGACCTGCAGCGCCCACAAGGGGGCGGTTTCGCCCACTTTGGAAAAGACTGCTCTAAGCTATCTCGCTGAAACTGAAACTTTACCAAAAGGTTTTTAGTTATTGCATGTAGAGTATATATCGAATCGGGTCGGATCGGAATATATAAGATATCGTATTGATCCCAAACGAGAAATAAAAAAACAAGAAAGGAAGCTAGCTTCGGCAAACCAAAGCTTATATACCTTTGTAGTCATCAAATATGTCGAACAAAATACATAAAGGCTAAACAACATCGAAGCTATGACGATTTTTTATTAATTTTCCATATTTTCGACTATTGTTCAGTCAGCGCTTTGCGGGCGATTGCGGTCCAGATTAATTGAAAGCTCCCCAATGATCAGCTCGTGATCGCTGTCTATCGTTGCTCCCCTCTTGTTTCTCACTTCCAGGAGAGACTTTCTTCATTTTCTGCTTAGGCAAATATGGTCGATTTGGTTTCGTGCATTTCCACTCGGATTTTCCACGTGTATTTGTGGACATCTCTATGTGGGAACAGACTAACTCCAATGATCCACTGGAATAGTGATATTAATTCGAAGGATGCCAGTAAGAGTGGTTGTAAGAGTAGCATAGAAGTCGTCTTTAACGTGTCCTTAATGAGTCTGACTAAAGTGGGGGTCCAGGAATGTAGCGTTCCTTTCATTCTTCTGGCTACGAATATCCCTACTCCATATATGCTTCCCTCATTACCACTATGCAAGATACGATTGTAATTTACTGATATTGTTGTCCCACTTTCACTCCATCTCATCTCACTGATTCCGGCCATTGTTGTTGTTAATTTGTCCATTGAAGTTTGTGCATTTCTCCTTAGAATTGTGCTAGTCTAGACGGCTCCCTTAGTGTCCTAACGTCCCATTGTCCTATTCGAGTCCTTCTTGGTATGCCTATGGTCGTCATCGAGGGGGTCTGTTTGTGTTTAGAAATCTCGTATTGGATTCAGTAATCTTTTTGGTGTTTTTAATCGAACTGGTGATTAGCCAGAAGTGAGCTATCCTAAGCTGCCACCTAGCGTTAACTAGGAGCGACGTGGGGGCTCACACTTTGTACCACCACTTGGCGGTAAATATAGTTCCTAGCATCCTCGATGGGGCAGGGCCATCGCAGCGCCATCTGGCGGGGAGATGCGAGAACTTGTACCATGGGGCCTGGGGAGATTTTCTTTTCTGCTGCGATGCTATCTTACGGCGGCGGGGACAATGACTTATGAAGCGTGCTTTCTACTAGTGTCTTGTTGTTGTTCGAGTGTGTATACCAAGTAAATTCACGAAAGTTATATTATCGTGTCCATAGTAACGTGGACGAGGGGTATTAGACCATTATAGAATTGGTGGAGCTTTCAAAGAAGAACCATTTCTTTTTCGAGGGGTAGCCTGCTGGTCCACCAGGCCCCCAAAAGCTTTTAATTAATAATTACAAATCCAAATTTAAATCGGTACAACATGAAGCCATTATTCTTTATAACGACTTCGAATTTGTTGGAAAAACGTTGTTCTCTAAATATACATAAGATGCGTCTGATATCCATTTACACTGCCCCGGAAGAGAAATTCAAAGTTAACAAGAAAGGAAGCTAGCTTCGGCAAGCCGAAGCTTATATACCCTTGCAGTCATTAAATATGTCGAACAAAACGCATAAAAGCTAGACAACATCGAAGCTAAGACGATTTTTCTATTCATTTTCCATATTTTCGACTATAGATCATATGGGAGCCATATGATATAGTGTCCGATTTTGATCCAATTTAATTCGTAATTCAAGAGTCGTAAGAAAACTCTATATTCCAAAAATCGTACTTGTATGATGAAAAACAACGATGTTATAATTTTATTTCCGTTATTTCCATATAGATTTTTCGATCTTTCCTATGGTAGCTATAAGATATAGTTGAACGTTGTTAAAAAACTTGATATTCAAAAAATCATGCTCGTGGGATAAAAACAACGATGCTATCAATTTTTTTCCATTAATTCTATACATATTTTTCGATCTCTCCTATGGCAGCTATATGATAGAGTTATCCGATTTTGTTCAAATTTAATCCGAAATTCAATAACAGTTAGAAAACGCCATCTTAAAGAATTCAAGTGGATCTGATCAAAAACAACACAGTGAGAATTTTTTATTTCATTCTCTCGTATGGGAGCTATCCGATATAGTCGGCCGATCCGGCTCGTTCCGACTTATATACTGCGTGCAATAACTACACACCTTTTGGGAAAGTTTCAGCAAGATAGCTTTAAAACTGAGAGACTAGTTTGAAGAGAAACAGACAGACGGACAGACGGCCAGACGGACAGACGAACAAATGTACAGACGTATTTCTATTCAGATCGTGATGCTGATCAAGAATATACATATAGTACTTTATGGAGTCTGAGGTGTCTCCTTCACTGCGTTGCAAACATCTGACTGAAATTATAATACCCTTTTGCTCTGCAAGGGTATAAAAACAAGCTATAACGATGGATAATGAATTACATAATACCTATGTAATTTAAAATTTTGGTTGGAAATAACTTGTTATAGATTTTTGTCGAACGAATGAGTCCGGATAATCGGATGTTCAGATAATCGATGTTCGGATAATTGGGATTCTACTGTACATTTTGGCTAAATTAGAATTATCTCAAATGAGGTGATATAAGTTTGTGTTTTTAAGAAATAGTATTATTATTAATATGTTTGGTAATGTGAGGTTTTAGATGTATTTTAGTGGATTGGTGTTTTTAAATATTAGTTGTCTTTGGCAGTTTAGTGACTTGCAGTTAGTCAGTAAATGATTAATTGATAAGGCACCGTTGGTATCATTGCAGAACGGACAGGTCCTGGTTTCAGTTGGGTCCATATAGTATGTGTAATTTTTGTGTGTCCAAGCCTGAGCCTTGTTATTATTACGCTAGGGCGTCTGCAAGTTCGTTTCGTAATTTAAATTTATTATTGTTTTTTTGTAGAAGATTACGGGCCTTTGAAATATAGTATTCGCTGTTGTGTTGTGTTCGTCTTTTGTCTTAATTTCTGTAAATTGTAATATGAAAATTTTAGGAGGGTTACTTTTATTGTCGAATTTATTAAGCGATGTGTCTATTTTTAGAGGGCTTGTGTTCCAGGGCGGTGTGGTTTGTGTAGGTGGTGTTAATTGTTTAAATGGCAGTTGGTGGACTTGTAAGTATTCTTTAATACGAAAAAATTCTCGTTAAACTAGATAATATTTTTCATACCATGAACTACGATAAAAAGAAAATATCAAAAAATGACAGAATGGCAGCGTTTTAAAAAAAAAAAAATCGAATTTTAACCAAAATTTTGGTCGTTTTTGGCCTGCCAAAATTCGATTTTTGATCGGATCAAAAAACCGATAGTTCATGGTACGTAGAACTATATAAAGAACATGTAAAAAATTTGGTAGTGATCGGATCACTAGTTTTTGAGTTATCACTGCAGCAAATTTGGAAAATGCGGTTTCGAGAAAAACGT